GCGCCCGGCTTAAAATGCAATTTTCTAAATCAATTATCATCAACTTTTATTAAAGAGAAAGTGAGCCTAGGCCAGGTATGGGGGCTCACATCAGTAATTCTAGCACCTTGGGAGGCCAAGACAGGAAGAATGCTTAAGGACAGTAGTTCCGAGATCAGCTCAGGCAACACAGTGAGACTCCCTGCAAAAATTTAAAGCAAGCCTACCACTCCTTTATAATACCTAATATGTTAGAATATCACTATTTCAAACCACTGACATTGATTAGTTCATTGTATTAGGCAAGTTGAGAAATAGCACTAAAGGCCTCGAATTGTGGCTCACACCTATAATCCCAGCACTTTTGGGAGGCTGAGGCACGATCACCTGAGGTCAGGGGTTCAAGACCAGCCTGAGGCCAACATGGTGAAACCACATCTCTACCAAAAATACAAAAAAAATTAGCTCAGTGTGGTGACTTGCACCTGTAGTCCTAGCTACTCAGGGAGCCAAGATCGTCCCAAAGCACTCCAGCCTGGGTGATAGAGGATGACTCCATCTCAAAAAACAACAACATACTAAAAAGTGTCAATTCTTTTCATGTACTATTTTTCAATTATTGAACAGAATGACACACAAATATTTAGAGAATAGAAAAATGTTCCTTCCTCATTATAGACAGAAAATTAAATATATCAAACCTAAACATCACAGATCCTTAGAAGTTAATTTAATTATCTGTTTAGAGCATCAGTATGGTTTATTCAAAAGAGAACACTTACACAATACACTTTTTCCATTAACTTAAACAAGCATAGCTCACTTCACATGGCCAGATTTCAATTAGGATATGCCAAGCCAAAGAGCATAACTGAAAAAAGTGAAACCATGGTCACTCCAACTGTAATCCTGAGATGCAGAGTTTCAATCAGGTCAGAATTAGAAAGAAAACAACAGGCCAGGTATGGTGGCACATGCCTGGAAACCCAACACTCTGGGAGGATCACTTGAGGCCAGGAGTTCGAGACCAGCCTGGGCAACATAGTGAGACCTCATCTCTCAACAAAATATTATCTGGGCATGGTGGCCCACACCTGTAGTCCCTGCTACTCAGGAGGCTGAGGGAGGAGGACTGCTTGAGCCCAGGAGGGGGAGGCTGCACTCCAGCCTGGGCTAACAGCAAGATCAAGATCCTATCTTGAAAAGAAAAAAAAAGAGGACGCAATGCTAACGGAAATAAGAGTCTGTTAATCAACTTTTCACACTAATTCGGTACTACAATCAGACATATAAAAGACAAATTTAAATTTACCTCCTTTGAGTCATCTATTCGCTCAAAATATACAAAAGCAAATCCTCGAGATCGCCCAGTTCGCTGATCATAAACCACATTGACACCACTCAATGGTCCATATCGAGAAAATACTTCACGAAGATCTCTCTCTGTTGTGTACAAACTGAGGCCAAACACTCCAAGGCAAGTGTTGGGGTCTGGATTTGCCTATTGAATAAAAATATTAAGTCCAAATTAAAATCAAAATTAAAAAAACACAGAAATACTTTGTTTAGAACACCTCATCCAATACACAATAAATATAATGTTTCTAGTTATTTGGATATAAGATTTTAAGAGAACCAAAGCAGATGTGCCATAGTTTACAATTCATAGTGCCCTCAAGGCCTTCTTTGGGATATGCTTTCTGTCTATAGCCTGAATTAAAACATTCCTACTCTCCAGCCCAGCAAATTTTTATAATATATCCTAAAAATGCTGTCATCCCAGCACTTTAGGAGGCTGAGGCAGGTGGATCACCTGAGGTTAGGAGTTCGAGACCAGCCTGGCCAACATGGTGAAACCCCATCTCCACTAAAAATACAAAAATTAGCTGGGCATGGTGACAGGCGCCTGTAATCCCAGCTAACTCCAGAGGCTGGGGCAGAAGAATTGCTTAAGGGACGTGGAGGTTGCAGCGAGCCAAGATAGCACCATTGCAGTCCAGCCTAGGCAACAACAATGAACTGCATCTCAAAACAAAAAAGTATCCTCAGTTTAATTCCATCTTCCTAATTTATTCAAATGCTTTACACCCCTTACAGATTTGTACCCAATTTGACCTCATCTATAATTGTTAATTTAGACCCCCTCTCCTCTATTTTCTTTTTTTTTTCTTCCTGAAACAGGGTCACACTCTGTTGCCCAAGCTAAAGTTTGTGGCCTGATCACGGCTCACTGTAGCCTTACGTCTCCTTGGGCTCCGGCAGTCCTCCCATCTCAGCCTCCCAAGTACTTGGGATTACAGATGTGAGCCAATATGCCTGGCCCACTTTCATTCTTTAGCAAGGATATTCTTCCAGTGTTCCCATAATCCAGATTTTAGGAATAAATTTACAGATTTCAAAACATTAAATAATGACATGCTCTACCACAGTTAAGTTAGTCAGTATCCTGTGGGAGAAGCATAGCACAGCATGTTAACATGCTCTAAGAACTTCAGAGTCAGGCAGCCTGGTTGAAACCTAGATTGCCAGTTAGCAAAAACTAAACCAAAACCCCTTCAATGTCATGAATCCAAGAATGAATTTCTTTCTTTCTTTTTTTTTTTTTTTTTTTTTTGGAGTTTTTTTTTTTTTACTTACCAGAGGGTTGGTTGATATGGCAATCTCTGTGTTTGCCGCCCCCTGCCGCTTGGGGGCTGGCAATTTTTCCGTCC